TCACGGGCCCCTCTGAAAATCCCCCACCCAGGGTGCAAATGATAATATACCAACCAACGGACAAGTTATATCACTAACTGGTGAAGCATAAATTGAACGACAATGTATCACCAACCGATAATGTTTCACAAATTGACCCATATAGTATAGGGGAATTTCTAATCGATAATGTATCTGTCGACAAAGAACGTAATTAAGCAAAATCTATAACCGATAATGTATCGCCAGTAAAAGAGTAAAATGTCAATGGACATTGTATCAAACATCTACAGATAATGGGATTGGGAAAAAGTGTATTCGAATTCTACCTGTCAGATGGTAATAACCATGTTTACATGTTCAAAATTATCATTTTGAACATGTAAAAGTTCTGAAAATCCCCCACCCAGGGTGCAAATGATAATATACCAACCAACGGAACAAATAACAAATAAAAGGATCATTTCGAACATGTAAACATCAGCTTTCACATCGAGACGAGACGGGTAACTGGCATCTAATGTGCTTCAATGGTGGGTCAATTTCTTGAAGTTGGGACTAGAACAAATACGGGTTTAACTAATTAACAGTTAACAATAGAGTTTATGTACCTTTTTATTATTTTTATTCTTATCTGAAAAAAGTCCCACCTTTATAGTCATGTAATCCAAATAAAAAAGCCTTTTACTTTGGAGTATATGGCCAGATAAACGACTTGAAAGGGAAGGTTGATAGATCTGTGAATAGTTAAGCAGTTGTTCAGGTGCATAAAGTCAGAAAATCAATCAGGTAGGCTCCAAGGGAAATTTGCGAGATGTAAAACGTGGCACGGGAGATGTCACTTGCAGTATTTCCCTCGTGTCTGCACGAGACAAATGCTTTCATGGAGGTTCCACGCCGTAACAGAAATACCTCAATTTCTTCGAATGTACCCTTGAGTGTCTGCGCCACTTTTAAATCTTCGCCGATCCTATTTACCTGTGTTTGTGGGGTCTGCCCGCTGGATATGCTATTTGACATTTTTAAATTCACAAGAAGGAGACAGCACAGACACCACCTGGTACATATGCTTCATCTTCGAACTTTTCCAGGAGGTTGGGGCTTTTGCTGTGACAACCGAGGACAATGATGCTGCGACACTCCAAAGGGTTTTATTGTGCACAATGATTAACCCAAAGCATGGCTTGCTTAAACTGTTTGTGTACACCTTAGCTATACTGACGCAACAATGAAAAACTGGGTGCATAAACCAGTGACTGTCAGTGCCCACGCTTGTTCACATCAGACGCCATTTCATTCACAAAGCGCCTTTGCCGTTTGTTTTGTCAAGGCAACCAATATTTGACAATAGGAATTACGAATTATGCTTTGAAAACCGCATGTAATCCTGCTAGAATTCCAATCAGTTAAGAGTTCGAGCCCAGCCTTTATCTATTTCATGTCTTGTCTATTTACTTCGCGATAACAGTCTGGCGCCTGTGACGCGACCGATTTAACGTAGCGGCTTCTGCTGGCCCCTCGGGATATCTGACAGCGGTGGTGCGATGAGGAAAGACGCGACCGGAGCGAGCCCGTCGAGGTCAGTTTTCAAGAAATTTATCTACTATGGCACCAAGCAAATCGATGCTTATGTACGCCGAGCGGGGATCTGCCGGGAAAAAAACCCGACTTGCATGGTTGGGGCACAACCGCGACTCAAGATCGTATTAGATAAATTAGCGTTTTCGACGGAGCACAAACAACCAATGTTTTCTTTTGACTTTGAGTGGCAAACCAGCCTCATAACGGTATAACCACCAGCCTCATAACGGTATAACCACAGCTGCGCATCCAACTTGGGTTTTGAATTCGTAAAAGGGTTAAAGAGGCTCAGCCAAGGTCAGATGCGCTTGATTTAGTCTACCTTGCATCGCGTAATTGGTCTTGAGGGACGGGACTTCAATTGTAAGATGCAGTTATTCCCAGTTAACCTGGGCTTAGCGCTAAGAGGCGCGAAGTTCGAAATTTTGAGATGAAGAACGAGAAAATCCGTGCAAACACGACTGATTAGCGCCTCGAATACAAGTCAGAGTCACAAGAGAAATCCTCCTCGGCAGGTCGTGAGGTTCTCCTCAGACAAAGGCAATTATCATTCAGATCTCGTCCCTTCTATCTTTTGTTAGCAATCTTATCTCTTCCCTCCCTCGTGACACTATGCTAATATTTATTCGAGACAGAAGATAATATCGAAGCCAGTCGTACTGTTCTGTAGTCGACAAAACGGTATTAGATAGTCACTGCAGTTTTGTGTCAAATTTTGATGTATTTGGATACTTCCAAAGCAAGTTGTAGTTATTCTAATTCTATTCATGGAAAACTTCCTTTTCAGCGATGAAAAAGAGTAAGTCTGTTTACGAGTCCATTTCAAGCCTGCCACTTAATTGGGTATTCAGTGGAGATTCATCATCGATGGGATTTTAGTTCCGTAAGTCTTGTAGGCGCACATTGCGGACAAGAAATCTTGAGGACGTGCACGCCCGCGTCACTTTGGCTGTCCGGTGCAAATTCGCCCGGAGTGAACCCGCCGCCATTCCAGAGCCCCCGCTCTCGGTACAGCACAGACGGGGGTTTTCTAGTTCCTTGCCGAATGCTATACGGTACCTGTGGCGGGCATTACACCCCACCGAGGTACAAATGATGAATGCGCAAAATAGACGAGAGCCTGCCAAAGTGCGCTGTTTACTGCAGGTTCCACTGGGGTCTTTGGTCAAAGCTGAAAGGGATAAAGACCAAGAAATATCAATGTAAAATTGTATTAGAAGTATATTGTATCAATTTATTTACACATTCGTGTATTTTGGACAAAATACACTCCATGGCAAATTAAAAGTCAGTTGTTGAATTTGCCTTTGAATCAGTTCTGTATGCTGGCATTAAACACGAGAAAGAATGCTTTTATCTCATTCACATTAAGACGATTGAAATGAATTATTTCTGACACTTGCTGACATGCAATAAAATTGGCTGGTTGGTCTACAGGTACAATGGATCGTGCCACTTTATGACAAATTTCGTTTCAAGCTGCAAAGTTGCTCTAAATCCCCAAAGGGGTGTTAGCTTTGTGTATTACATACTTTGACAATTCGCACAGTATTTCTTAGTCTCGTGTGTCATTATTTTGAATTTCACCCAATCAAACATGCATGCGCAAAATGCCCCAAGTACAGTTCGCCAACGGCAAGTGCAGCTCAAGAGTTCCCTCCTTCAAATGCACGAGAATTCCTAAATTTCACTTGAAACCTTCTTGAATGACACCCTCTTTTATATTGCTTCTAAATGACGTTATGCCGGCCTAAAAACTGAAAAAAGTATACACAGAACCTCTCAGGAAATCTAGAACCATTAGTATGTTCACAGCGAAAAAAGAACGTTTTTTATCCATTCTTTGATCAGTTATTTTTTGCGTAGCTTCAAGTGGATAACTTTTCCTTCAAGCCTTTTCCATTGTAAAAAACTGGAACATCAGTCACTGGATAGGAATATTTAATTAGATTGGCTGAAAGCTGCAAGCTATAAACAACAAGCTCCTGCACGAAAGAGCAAATACTCCAAAGCCCATTTGGCATGAATGATCTTTGATTTATTCGCGGCCCCGTATGGCTGCGCTTGTCGCCGCGGCACACAAAATGTTTTGCCGCACCGGCCGGCTCGTTTGGTTCCGTTTGTTTTCGCGCCAATAATACGCGCTCCCCCGGCTCGCCAAATCAAATCGATTCCGGGCCACGCGGTTGTTTTGTTTGGAAGTGTTGACACGAATGGCGCAACGGAGAGCACTCAACCTTCGCTCAGGCCCCGAACGAGGCTCTCTGGATGATAAAAGGTGCTTGCCAGCACACAATGCTTTGAAGCTGAGGCGAGGAGAAAAAATGAAGTCTGAAAAAGAAATTCTGAGAGACGGTGGTCATTTATCCTGGCTTCGTTTACTCAAAGTTAGACGCAGTTCTCTGATAACGCAGGGAAGTTGAAGGATGATATGTTATATTTTGTTTAAAACGAATCAATAATATACATACTCTAGCTAGTGGCAGGGTCCCATTAGGCGAGGATAGAGAATCATTTGCTTTGAGATTGGAGGCTGCCTCGTAATGCATCGCTGAGAAAAGCTTCATGGTATGAGATTTTACGAGATTAGAATACTAATTGTATTAGGCCCTATTTTCCCGATCCAGTTCCAAACCGATATCCTAAACATGTACCCAACAATTGTTAATTTTTTAACTTGTGCGGTAACCATGAACGCGCGAGTTGCATTTCTGTGGCGTGCATAAGTAACATTTATTCAGTCACTGAAGTGTTACCTGTTGATTATTTCAATATATCTTTTTTGAGATTTTGAGATATCTGTAATCGATTTAGAGATATCTTGAAATCCATTTTATATCAAATACATTTTGAGACATTTTGAAATTTATTTACAGATGTCTCAAAACCTGTTTCCAAGATATCTAATGGGCCATCAAGCTGTACTTAGAATACACTGCTTGTGTTTGCGTCAGCCAATCACAATGAATAAATTAACGGTTCTCCAAAATGCATGATTGGTCAAGTGCATTTAAGGCTGCATCTGAACCTATTGTCTAGAGCTAGGTCTAAGTCTAAACTCGATTAGAAATACACGGAGACTCGCTGATAAAGACGTAGCCGTAGCTCTGGAAGCCCGTTTCTTACACAGTCATCTATTTCACTTAATGTCAAAGCGCACAATGTGGGGACAACATGACCTTACCTCGTTGCAGACGTCACAGGGCTGAGGAGCGTGTCTCCACTCAGACGTAGGCCCTTCCCCCGCAAACTGCAACACGAATCAGTATAATAATCCCAAGTGTTTTGTATGGAGGATTTTCTTACCAACCTTCGATCAACTTTACTTTCACTGGTCCCCATTTCTTGCTGAATCGCCACTATACATTTGTGAACCGACCTAACGTCCTGTTGAAGAACGACGCCTGAAACGATCAATCAGCCAGACTCGAAAATTCATATATAGTGATGAACGCATCGTACCAAATTTATGCACATCATACACAACAATTCAATATTTATAAACATCGGTTTCAAAACCAGCAACATCTATAATGTGCCCTTAAACACGAATCTTCAAGTTTAAAATGCTTGCTCGTAGCACGAGGTCCTTAGTAATGTTAAACATCACGAGCGATCAGTTGAAAATAGTCATCTCTGAATTAGGGGACAAATACCAAAATGTCATGGTCACAAAGAACATGTTTGTTCTCTTTCCAAACTGGTCCTACGTAAGAAAATAGGAGAGGCAGTGTGAATGTTTTTGTTTTGAAAGTGTGGCTCGGTTCTCCTGGTCATGCAAGCTGGACGATAATAAATGGGAGATTGCCCGTAAGCAAAATGGAAACAATTGTGTGTGGTTTCGGCGTCGATGGTCTGTGGTGTCGGAAATACACGCCCCGAAGCCAGGGAATTGGTTGAGATCACACACGCTGCGACGATCAAGGGTACCAAAAGTCCCTACTGGATCTAAGGAAAGGAGTTGTCCTAACATGGGCACGACTCTAACCACGTATTCCGTTTGCTCTCCATGCTCGAACGAACAATTAAATGTATTTACTTTACAGGTGGGAAAGGTTTGACTGCATCATTGTGAAGAAGGTCCACCTATGGGAGTTCTAAGTAGAACGGAAACCAACGATTCTCTTAACCTTGTATTTTGTACCCATACATCGGCTCTCTTTTGAATCATCACAACCCCCTGGTTTTGGTTGACAAGTCTTCTTCTGTTGGTTCAGTGCATTGTTTTCTTTCAACTTTCTGCTCAGAATGTGTTTGAAATGAAATCAAGGCTCGGATTACATAAACTCTTGATCTGAAGGATGCAAGACTCCTTAGATGGCCAATCTATGCTGTCAATAATGATGTGACAATGACGATTCCTCTCACAATTCACGCATCGGACGTTTCAGCCCAACTTCCGAAGTTCACAGCTACAAGCGTCGAGACTACTGGAATGTGCTTCACTGCTGGACGCTCACAACTCCTTTGCCTGCTATTACTGCCTCTCCCTTTGCCCTCTCTGGCTGGACGTTGGTCAGCGCCGACGTGTACGGTATACCGTCCTCGGCGGTCTCGTGCTGCGACGCAATCGGCATGTACGGCGGGAAGGTGTTCTCGGCATCCACCCTGATCTCGTCTCTGTAGCTGTCCTCGTCGCTGGCGAAGCAGAAACTCGGGATGAGGAGGGAGACGGCAATGACCAGCCCGCCGGCACACATCATGATCAGCCCCGCCAGCTTGGCCGAGTCCAGTCGCCGGTTGAACTTCCGCGCGTCCTCGTCCACCACTGCTACGTCCTCGTTGTAGCCGAGGACTTCCTTCCGCGGGGTGATGAAATAGCCTACCATCAGCGCCAGGATGGCCAAGATCAGGATGTTAAGGCCCACCCAGGCCCCAGCCTTCCACCAGACCGGGGAGCAGCAGCCGCAGGGGCCCCGTCGCCGCTTGCGAGCTGCCAGGTCGGCCAGTGGGTGCTCCTCGTCCTCGCAGTAGATGTCGTCGCGGTCCTTGTAGGCTGGGTCCTCCTCGTAGAACTTGTGCAGGTAGGACTTGACGCCAAAGGAGTCGGAGCTGGCCGGTGAGTCCACGCAGGACCGGTCGCTGTGCTCGCTCTCCGAGACGCTCTCCAGGCGGGGTGGCCGGGTCAGCTTGCGGCGGGCCGCGGCTTGAGATGCCGCGGCCGCGTTGCTAATGCTTCCAGCTGGTGCTGGCGGTGGTGGGGTTGGTTTGGGCACGGGTGGGCGAGGTCGAATGACACTGCCAGCCCCTGGTCCCATGACCGATTGCGGCATATGTGTTCCTCCATTCGCACCATTATTTGACGACTGAGGTTCCATGATCCCGTCGATTTGTTTGTTTTCTCCTAGAAGACGACGTCAATAGAATCTCTCATCATAGCTGTTCTGCGTTCATTTTTTCCATTCTGTCAAGATAAAAATAAGATGGAGAATTGTTATTCGTGAAACGATCCAAACATTACCCCTATTAACCTTATAATGATATCGGATTTCGGTGTGTAAAAACAAGGTATACACTTCCAAGGATACGAGTTCCTGAATGAAACGATTCAAGGGAAAAAAGTATGCAAAGCGTTGTAACGGGTCACCACAATAAACCTACCATGTTTGAATTTTTCCCTGTAAACAAGTTATAGTTATATACAGGCAACAGTTATACGACTTATTCTGTTGAAAAGGACCAGACTATTCTTCCCGCTAGGCTCAATTTGGTATACAGTTTGAATACATTGCTTTGAATGGTAGAAAAGTAAGATAGCTGCCCTATGATAGAGGTCTATACCCTGGGAGAGAAAGCATCCGCAGGAAGCACAGGCGGGCGTCCTGCTAAAGAACAATATTGTTTTGATTCACAGTTTGGCATCGGTCCGATAGTAAATATAATTCCTGACGAGGCGGTGACCGACATCAGAACGGTGGCGAAGTGTCATATGTAACACATTCGCCCTCTAGCCCCGCTGTAAATGAAGTCCTTGGTGGCCCACGCAACTAAGTGCACTATTAAAATTGAAAAAAAAAAAATCTTTGCATATATGCTCGCCTCAAGGCCCAGATTTTGCCAGCCGACTCACTGTGCAAGTTAATTGGATTTCTGTACTTTCTGCACGCAGTAATACAACTTCGTCATTATTAAAAAGGTTGCACAACAATAAACCTGCAACATCCTATTAAAGAGATATGCGCTTATGCATGTACAATGCATATATGCACATACATTCTCCAATCAAGTCAAGTTGTATGCGAAATAAAACTGTCAACGTCCTCAAGTAGGGTCACCATTGGCTTATGAAGTCCGTCGCAGTCAGTAATTCCAACATGTTCTTGTGATATTATTTGTGCTTATCCTCTAAGTCACAAAGAATTCCCGCATTGCTTCTCTAGATCTAGGTCATTTTTGCGCCACGCAGGGACCTAGTTCCTTTGAAGACTCAGCACCAATCATTTTGATGGGGTCAGTGGTAACACAAGGTCTATGAGAACCGGATATAATACAGTCGCTGCCAAGTGGCCCCATGGGCTGCCAAGTGACTCCATGGGCTGCCTGCACGTTCTTTCACTAGCCCCTGGTCGTGTAGACTACGCATATGACGCTGACTGGCTATTAAGGATGAATATACATAAACGTGAAGTGAATCGCACGCGTATTTCAAAAGCTGCGCACTCGTGCCCTCGTATTCTCATGCACGTCACGCACGCGTAAATCTGCGTCGCTAGTAAACACACAGAATAAAGTCCTAATTTAAATAACCCAAATATTCAAATTATAAAATACCAGGGGTTAGATCGCGCAAGGCATGGTGGGGACTAACATGGCGCGGCAAGATCGTACACAATGGAACGAGGCTGAAGTGGCTCCTACATAGGCGCATGATACTCCGTGTCGCAGCCAAGTGCTAGAGACGCAGCCCAAGACAAGAAGAACTCAGACCTGATGTACCCATACGGACCGGATTTGATGCTCACAGTGGCTCGTGTTTAATTTTAAATCTCATGTCACTACTTCAACTCTTCTCAGGCAAAGCATTACCAAAGGCCTTCTGAAGTCTTCACACATCAGCTCTGTCGAATTTAAATGGAGAGGGGGCGTTTCGAGTGTGTTTAAGGTTTGAGAGCTACGTGCACACGAGACAGTTTAAATGTGAGGACAATCCATTTCGTGCCTTATTGAAGCGATTTTTACGACAACACTGGGTTAAAAACACGATTTATTATTTGACTATGTAACACTGGTGTCAAATCATGCGGAAACACGATAGAAACAAGCACGCCTTGACGTCATTGAAGCCCAATCTCGAAGTCCTACAGTAACGTCGCCCACTCGATGTTTATCCAGTCAATCGAGAGCAGAGCTTGTTAAAGAGACTATCCTCTGCCAAGTGGGGGTTCGGGCATACAGCAAAGAAGATGTTTCGAGACACTGCAATCCGAAATCTTGTGCAGTTTGAGGTATGCTGGTGAAAAGAGCAGGTGTAGTTCTCCTATTTGTCTCCCTGCTCCCTTAAAAAACACATTCTTCATTTTTAGCTTGGTAAACATAACTATCGGAGGATGTTGACACCGCTCGCTACCGTTTGTCAGAAGTTCTTCCCACTCTCTGATAACAGTCTCCATTGTCGTGATAATGTGCACACGTCAGTCGTAATTAGTTCGCGGGACTTCCCTTCCAATTAATTCGAAGGAAAAAAATCGTCGCCATAGGCCTTCCTGTTGTAAGAGGCGACTATACCTGGAGTTCATTTGCTGACTCCTTTGTCAGGCCAGGCGGGGAGGCGGGAAACTGCCAAGCAGTTACCATGGATACGAACGAAGTGGGACCTCGTTATGGATAGTTCTTTGAAAAAAGCACTTCCTCACAAACATCGAGATTTCCTGTAGCTGAAATCTCAAGTTGAAAGATCAGTTTTTGTTGAGCACTGTACCACTGAAAACTCATTACAAAAGGTGTGGTGTTAGATTGGTGCTACGTCAGTGCTCTCGCTACTCCTATGTGCATAACGAGGGTTATAATTTATATACTGCAGTGTTTGCAGTCCTGGAAAGGAACATAAATATTTTGTAACAACTATGATCCCAAATAAAATTAAAACTAATCAAGCCGAGATTTTAAGCCCATCCTTTCGAAAAATGACCTGAATTCCGAGCAAAGAGACAGACAGACCGGGACTGGATAATACAGTCAACACGTATGTTCACTCCCATGCATTTGTACGCCACTTAGTTGAGAGGTAGCGCATGCGCACTCGAGCACTTTACTGTGGATTTCGAGGCAGGCGAGGCCGGACACCATTCCGACACCTCTTTCCGCGGATGGAGACCATAATTTAGTTAACAAAATACCAACAAATAAACTTCACAGAGTTAGGCCTGACCTGATAACTAAAATTGAGTAAAACCCACTAGATCACCGTATTATATGAACCCAATCGCACAAAATCAGAAACATATATTTCTGAAAAAAATAAACACAACCAAATTTGAAAGAAAATACGTCCACAGTCATTCCCATTTTAAAAATACTTATCAAGTTTATCCAAACAAACGAAATAAAGCGTCATGTGAATTAAGACCCGATAAAACATCGGAAGTGTTTTCAAGCTATTGCGAACTGACGATTTTGCACGAGAATCATTTCTCCGTATAGTAGTGCATGTGTACGTGCGTTGATGGAGTACATTATGTACATGCACTGCGCAGTGTTTAATACGTGCACATGTGCACACATAAATCATGGCCTACCATCAGTTGACAGAGAGCCAAACTTGAAGTTGGTGAAACTAACGAAGGGCAATTCGCAATACCTCAAACATATTCATGGTATCCTTTTTCAAGCACTTTTCCAATTACCAAGATACTTAGCATGTGTGGATAAACTGGAGAACAATTCAAAATTTCGATTTTAAAATACCCTTTTTTGCGTTCGGAAAAGTAACGTACACAGACATCTTTAACCCCATTTTCTCCGAAATGTCGCGTATGATTAAAAAGAAACAACACCTCAAAGTGAAATCTGAAGCCTGATTGTATTTCCCTGTCATAAAGGTAGCCAAGTTTTACACAATGCTGAAGATCTCCCCAGATGGACAATGGTATAGTTGTTTGCTGGCTGGTGTCGTCATTTTAAAAAGCAACAGAGAGTGACCATGACTATGCCGAATATTAGCGCATGCGTACAAACCAAGTCCCAAATCTTCCATCCACCTCCAAGCCCCTTTTGGTCTCCCACCAACATCTTCTGGCCAGGTGTGCCCTTCTAATGAAGAAAAAAAGAGAGAAATGGTCCAGTTCTGACCATAAAAAAATCGACACACCTAAATTCACACTGGTTTTGAACATCCTGCAACATGTAAGTCCAGTGCAAACAGGTTGCAGAAAACAAGTCACGATACATGAAGGAACGCAGGAATCCGGGTCTTTGGCTGTTCACATTATAAAATCTCCCCACAAACAAGTCACCAATACGAAATGATTGGCCTCACGAATGTACACTTTAACCATCGCCGAGATAATTGTACATAAGGAACTAAGCAAGTCAAGCATACAAATACGGTCTTTTCCTTGCATAGGCCTATAGCTCTCTCCCTCAAGGGCATGTGTGGGCGTCTCTATTATTTCTTTGATAACGAAGGATCCCTTAGTCTCACTGTTGGTTAAAAACGAAAATTAAATCCACCATTTTCGACCTGCCAGAGGCTTCAGTTGGTTGCTGAACTGCGAGTAAGCCCACATCAAAAACGAAACGAAAAGATTGTATGTCTCGAGAAATGACGCAGCCTTCGCTTGCCCGTGTGTGGTTGAGAGATGGATATTCTCTTGTTTTGTTTCACTGTTTTCGGCTCCCAAACCAAATTCGTCTGTTAACGTCTGGATCGGGAATTATAAGACCATGTCATGGCCGTACAGAATTCACATCTTGTCTAACCCAATTTTTTTTTCATTTGTATTCATTGTGAGCACAAAGTGCCAGTGACAACACTCATCTCAGTTTAACAGAAAAAAAATGTTTGCGTCCCTTTCGAGTCACAATGAGGTTTCGTGGTTAAAGCCAGTGGGCTAAGATGAGGAAATGAGCCTAGAATTTGAACATCTCTACATACCATCAATGCCGAATTTAATACAAAATCCATAATTTGGATGAAGCACCGCCCTCTGTTGGCGAGGGTTGGATCATTGATCCGACCAATTGCGTTTTGGACTGCCCGGCTCTGTCTTTGTCACCGTTGAGGCTGCACTTGTGCACATACAAAGCCCAATGATGCATTCTAATAGATCACAGTCTTTGCGTGGCAATCATGGGTAATCCAGAGAGTCTCAAGTATTTCCCGTGCTCATTCGTAATTACTACGACACAAAGCATTGCCTCTAGAAGCTCTTTCCAGATACAATTCGAAAAATTGAGTACTCAGGCTCCTTTAGACAGTTCAAAGAGATTTATTCAGCCTTCTGGATACTGGAGCCATCATACATAATCCCAACGAGATAATTAACCAAGACCAGGAATTGCCCGAGTGCATAAAATATCTTCCCTCGAATTTTCAGCTACATGCGATGATATTCTGAAAACAGAATGCAAAATGGATCCGGTCAACTACTAATCTTCTGTTCTGAAAAAGCTAGTACCTTTAAATAAGCCCCAGAAGGCAGAATATATGCATTTTCCAATACAAACACATAGTAACTACTTTGCGTTCAAGGCATGAAGCCTGATTACAAAAAGACTCCAGAATAGTTATTAATACGAGTAGGCGTGCTTTGTGAAAAAAATGTTTTAATGTGGAAATACCGGCTGTACTGATTGGAAAACCGGAAATCAAGCAGATACCTGCGTTAATGTGTGACTGGTAAAAATAAATAATGAAGCAGATACTCCAAATCGACTTATTTTCCAGAGGAACACAAACAAGGGCAGACAGAAGACAAAACTATTAACTTGCTGTCAACTGGAGTTGCGCCATGAAAACTGATCACCAATGAACCGATAATTATAGTATTATTCCTCGCATTAGCATAACCAAGATGATAACACATTCGCAGGCCAAATAATTTATAATTCATTAAAAATTAAAAAAAAATCTTACATATTAATTGGTTCAGGCCTTGCACGCTGTATTGCCAAATATAGGGGGAAATCAAAGATGTTGACAATCCGAACTGAAAAGTAGACCGAGTGTGCTTATTAAATTAATAAAGGTTAGGTCAGAATAAACGAATCGGCATTTCACACAAATATACTTCAGATTTATGATACATTATGGAAAAACATGTACACAGGTATTTGGTATTGCGTGTTGTATGCGTGTACTCTTTGTACTAGTAGTAAGTCGAAGAAACAAAGATATTTGAAAATCGACTAAACCAGAATTCAACTGCAGCAGGTTTCACGCAACATCAAAATACGTCAGGTGCAAAATTTCTTGTGTCAATTATTTGCCGTGAATAAATTAAAATAATTCAAATTATATTTATTCTTGGCTACGAGTTGGGAAACGTTAAAGACTTTGGGCTTTAATCAACTAAGCTGCTTGCCCAGCGCTGTCATCGTACCTTTAACGGGAAAAATCATGGGGAGATAAGTGAAGCGAAAATCAATTTCGCAAGCAAAGCTTCACTCAGCCCCTAACAAACACAGACCTAGCAGTGCAAGCAGAGACGTAAATACAAGATGGCTTCTATGCAGTGGAGAAACCTACCTCCTTTCAGGGGGAATAACCAACAGGCTCGAAACTCCCTTTCTATGCGCCCATATCTCCGGTTTGAAGACGCTGTCCTAGCTGCCCTGAGATCCACCTCGATTCGTCAAACTGGTGTTGCAGTTTATTTGGTTCCTATTTTTCCCCCGCTTTGTTAAATCCCCGAGATTGAGCTCGGAATTTGAGAGAGCAGGTCGTCCTGTCCCGCTCACGAAAGACGCAGAGCAGCTAAAGATGATGTGAATTGAAGTACACGTACTACCGCAGCATACCCGCACAGCGTAGATGATTGTGCTATGTCTGTTTTTATTTCTCTCCTCGCTCCGCGGTAGTACTCAAGGCGATAGCTTTCCACCGCGGAGAATTCGCCGAGGTTGAATCCCACTCGCCGATGATGCAGCGATGACTTCGACGAGCGAGGCGAGTGGGTGCATTAATTTTGCCAGTCCGTGATATAGATGGGAGCGCGCCTCATTGTAATAACGAATTATTATTGGTCGTCGTGCGAACTGCACGTAGGCCTGGCAAGCGGCAGATCGGCCGGAAAGGAAGCGGGGCTTAGAGCGTTCCATTAAACAGGCGAAACGACGGATTGGAATCGGTCGATGCAGTCTCCTGCTTCAAGGCTTGTCGATCTCTCGCAGCAGTTTTTGACAAATGGAAAGCGAATCACTAATGGTGAATTTTGCGAAATGTAGAATGCTAACGTAACGATGTACGAGTAACTGGACGTCGGGCCGTTTCATAACAAGGGAATCGAAGATAAATCCCCATTGCAAATGTAAAGAAGTTAATGGCAACATTTCGACCATCTGGACTGTCTTTATTTTTAAAAATAAATGATGTGCAAGATTAAATTAGATAGTGTGGAGAAATAATCGCTGAATCAAAGGTTCCGATACTTTGTATCCGTTTGATATTTGATTCGGGTCGTTTGATTGTGCTTTTGAAAAATGGAAAAAAAATCTGTTTTTTTTCGACTGCATTTAAAGGACAACAAGCTATTGCAGATATGTCTTTGTTCGCATGAGGACTTTGCACTTTTGGCCATACTTGGTCAATCTTCGGCTAAATAAATAAATTTTGATTCATAGCAGCCATAACAACATCAAGCAGCCTTAATCTTTGCAAATGTAGCCTCGTTTTCCATCTGGTATGGCGACTCCAAGTTAAGAGCGAACAGAGTCATGCCAAAACAGTGGTTCTAAAGTATCCCCGCTCGACGCAGCACACATCAAATGTTTGCTTGTTTGGTTCTCTCCTGCTTGACGATAATGTTTATCTCCCGACAGCTGAGTAAATTCAGAGGGAAAAAATCGTCCCCTGTACAGATCAGTAATTCTGGCAAAATTTTGACCTGTGTGAATATGTGTATGAAAACTGTATACGGTGTGTATTGTCTATATTGAAACGATTGTTTGTTAAGTTCAATATTTGACCTTTGCATTATATGATAAAAACCCCTCATAATCAGCGAAAGGAATTCTTTGATAACTGGACCACCATCACAATAACAGGACAAGAAAAATGAAGGCTAACTATATCTATACACTCCAACTCACGTCCTTCTATGGTCTCATTGTTGTGACCTGAAAATGTGCACTATAGGTGAGAAATTGTTATTTTTTTGGAAATTACACACATAAAAGGTGCAGGGGGATGGAACAGTAGGCAGTAGAAGCTCCGTAATACAAATGACAGTTTTGTACTCCACTTTCTTGACGGTTGATCGCATGCTGGAAACAGGGATGTTATTCACAACACCATCTAGCTGGGATCAAATGCAGCTACCCCAACATCGTCAAAAAATTATGCCCAGGAGGAAAAAACAAGATTTTACCAAATAACTTGCGTAAATCTTTCTTCAGAAATGCCTGAGACCGCTACCGTGAACTAGGTTTCAGCGAAAGTAAGCAGAAACATCCCGGAACAGGAAAGCGCGTTACATCGCAGAAACTGTGCTTTCACGTGTCACAGTGCCCCCACGTGTCATAAAACTGTCAGGGCAGATAAATTTAATTGGAAACTGGGATCCTTTTGAATTTCGGACGTTTTAGAAAGTTCCCTCTGGTGTGTTAATAAGTGTTGAAAGTTATTCACCTCTAACCTTTGTATACGACATGAATACTTTGCATGCGGCTGACCTGCCTATATCTGTACATGTACGTGAAGTGTGTGTGTATATGTACCTGTTACTTCAAGTGTTTATGGTGGCCGTGGGTGTCTGTTTTAATCTTCGTTACTTTCATTGTCGCTTGTCAACTGTACTAGAATACGGGCGATTTGCAATAGTGTGCCTCCATGAATTTGCTATACGCATGGGCCAATTACAACGCACGAAATCTGTCGACCCTTTCTAAACGCGCACTGGGTCGACAGATTCCACGTAGTGTGATTGGCCAACACGTTTCGAACTCTTGGAGGCGCACTATTGTGAAATGCCCGTATTCTCAATATCCGTCTAGGATTAAAGAAAGTTAATGTAGCGGTCTGGCCCCCAGCCGATCGCTCGGTGATGACGGTCCGTTCGCCACTGAAAGAGGAATCGGAGGCCCAATCAAGGCAGGAAAAAAGGAAGGAAAACGGCCAGAGAGAGATGGACGACGACGGGAATACTACTGGAGTCTCACACTTCTGTTGGATTATCCCGATTTTTATTCCAGGATAAAATTGAGACACAAACGTAGCCATACTGCTACCCCAAGCCAAGTCAACAGCCTAATCCCCCTGGCGCCGAAAAAGTATCTCAAGTCGAGTCAAAGAGTATAACATTGTAGGCCACTTCCGTCCAATCACAAGCATTGGCCCGCCTCAAAATCACGCCCTACTCACATGCAACGTTCAAAGGTTACATTACAATTTGTTGATATTAAACTGAAGAATTCCCAGACCCCTACATTAATTATTTAAAATTACAGATGAAATTAATTTATGGTAGTCATTAATTTATGTCCGGTCATCTTCAGTATCGTTCATACGTGAATTATAATCATTACCGAGTCATAGAAATAGATCTTATTTTACGAGGTCGACCTGTGAGCAAATATATTTAATTAAACTACATTCCCTGGAAACAAATGAACTTGAAGTAAACTCACTACATGTACGCCTATTAATATTTGTGGTACGCCTGCGGAAGATACAGGGGCGGACGTCTGGTCCATCGAGCCGTACGGCATCTCTCAAACTAACCGAGAGAGGGGGCTATTCAACTACTCCGGCAGGCTCTGTCTGCAAGGTACGTGCTGACGCCGGTTATACCGCCTATGAATACGGTTTTCGTGGTGGCACGCTCAGCAGTACCACAGTGGCTGTAGTGCTACTTTTCCTGTTCAGACAGTCACTTGGATTCGCTGCAGCGGTAGCTCCTGCAACATTTGCCAAGGTTTACTTCATCAACTTTTCGAAACAATCGATTAAGGTAAGTTAAGCCGTTTGTTGCAGGGATGGAATCAAGTTAGCTCATGAAGGTGTAACGTCATGCATTATTATGATTGGAGAAAATTAATGTCTGGTTCACTGTAAAATGTAGGTAGGCCGTGGGTGTTTGACGTCCCTTGATACTTTGAATTAAAATTTGGTGGGCTCTTCCTCTTGTGGAAAGTGCATTATTTCTACATCATTCTAATCAAATTGTGATTAAAGAGATGATAGCGACTCAACACAGGTACAAATAACAAGTAATTGTCTGCAAGACTTAAACATAAACTTAAGGGCTCAGTTAGGTACACTCATGTTCACATTTCTGGACACAATCTGAGGTCTCACGTCCCGAAAAACAACGGTCTTAAGTCTTCTAGAGAGGGTCGAGGAGACTGGTCAGTCTAGGATAATTTGACAGCATTGGCCACAAATGAAACATCAAGAAATTCCGGTATCCTATACATTAACTGGGATACAAGAGTGTACCATGCACCGACGGACTTCAAAGCGGATGTCCATTTTCATCTGGATTACTGATTTCCATAAACCGCCAATATTTGTTAATTGTTATGCTTTGAATCAGACGGTTTCCTGAAGGTGCAGTACCTTCGTGAACGTAGACGGCGTATTGTTGAAGTTAGACTGTTTGTTCAGTAGCCATTGGACTCATGATCGTCACAGTTTGTGGAGGCCGCTGGCGGCTGGGGCTAGGCTTATTGTATGAGGTGACGGTATGCCTGTACCATTCTGCGCGTGTTTTCTTTTCGGATATCCCATAAGGGCATCACGCTAGACAATGAACCACAAAATCGATAGAAAAGAAAGGTTTATTCCCGGACCGGCTTTTGTTGGTTGTAACGATTGATCTATTTTTTTTTCATAGCAGTAGAGTTGCTTCAGTCATCCATGGATCCATTATTGCTTTTACGACCAATTCGTATGAAAATGGCAGGGAAAACATTTTTGGAAAGGCTTCATCTAATTACGAGACAGACTACTTTTCGGTTACAATTTGACATAAATTTAATGTTACTCCGCTGGAATACCCATAACAGTGCAGTACATAAGAGGGCGCTCCTTCACTTTGCCTTGTATCACAAAACAGAGTAGGCCTACACCAGCACTGAATATTTGGCTGGAGAGCAGAATAAACTAAAATCAGGTGAAATGAACGAAGGAAGTCATTTCTGTGCAGATTTTCGTATTTCCCAAGCTTTAGAATGGTGTGACATCAAACGATCATTGTCTCAAATCGACGGTGCATGATGAAGTCAATGAACAAGCAAAGACCAGTGCTCTATGCTGCATATATTGCGCGTAAGATATCTTGGTCAGCTGGAATTCCGCCGCATTCCACTATGATTCAGTGTGGATGCCTTTTACTGTCATAAGATAAGAATTTTTTAAAAAAAATTCTAAATGGCGAATCTGCATCTGTCAAATAGTACTTGTAATGAACAATAATTTGTACCAGAAAAGCGTGGAAAGAAATGGGTTGGTGTCAGTGTGTGAATACCTGACTCAGAACCCTTTTATTTTCTCACGCAGATCTTCATGTTACCGCACTTGAAGTGCTGTAGTTCAACATTTCGCCACCGTTTTTGCCCTTTTGGCAGCGCTATTGCTCGTTGACCTTTGCGCTTGTGAACAATGCGACTATTAAAAACATTGCGCCGCTTGTTCCTTTGATGTGTAAGTGGCAATGCAGAGCCACAAGCAACATGCGAGGAACGAACACTGTCATGTGACCAAACCCACTGGTGGACAAACACACTGCGTTCCAAGTTGTAGGACTTTTATATGTACATCCGCAGTTCTGTGGCGCTGCAATAATGTTTCATAACCGTACTTGGATCCGGGTCGACCGTAGACAATGCGTCGCGACCCGCGTCCCTGTCATATTAAAGCCAATTCAATAGTTGAACGTCGGTGACGCCAACTCCGACGAGGCACTGCCGCACCGCCCCCACATAATAGCGGCAAATAAAATACCT